TCTAAGTAAATTCAGTAAAAAAAAAAAAAGGATTTCTCTAAGTAAATAAAAGTAAATTAGGTAATCAACCCTCACTGGTCTCGGTCTCGACTCGGACTCGACCGTCTCTGGTCTCGGACTCGACTCCGACTCGACTCTCTATGGACTCGGTCTTGACTCCGACTCGACTCTCTATGGACTCGGTCTTGACTCGGACTCGACTCTCTCTGGTCTCGGTGTCGACTCGGTCTCGAGTGAGGTGGTCTCGACTACAACACTGACAACGCGTTTTGGATGCCTGAAACGTAAACTTTGGAAAACAGGTTTCAAAATGCATGTTTTTGAAAACGATCTCAGCGTAAACAACAAAAAACGCAAATCTCTGAAGACGATGACGTCATGTAGATGCGTATTATCACGTTTCATCGCCATCTAATGGTCTGGAAGCAGAACACAGGGTTTTTATTCGATTTCGCGGATTCGTGTGAATGGGGATCGTTTGGACAATGGTGTCGGTACGCAGAAAATTAGAAAGAAAAACTACTCAGTTTCAAGCATATCGTTGTCGTCTTCCCTTAGTTTCATTCCTGTGTGTTTGTTTTTTGTGCTTCAGTTCAATTTAATCTGAATTGAAAGTGTATTTATACTCGGTTTATGGTCGTTTCTCGTCTTTTTGTCATTATCAGTTGCGACAATAGGTCTTGTTCACTACAAAAATGTGGGTGGAAAATCCGTGTTCTTTTCACAAACAAGTTGTGATTCATCAACTTTTGTTTTAATATGTATTCTAAATATCTGAAAACTTTTGAAACAACTGGTTTAAATAATTACAAAACCCCTACAGTTTGCATCTACTCCCACTGACAGTTTTGTTCGGCAAACATTAATTATTGCTTTTTTTTTCATTAGTAAAATGTGCCCACATGCCTGTTATAAAACAAATCAAAACGCAATAAAAAGGATTCATTTCATCACAGTAAGAAGACGGCGAACGTGTCTTATGGACGGATATAAATGTGTAAAGTCTTGCTTCTTAATTGGTTGTGTTTCGCAGCAGATTAGGATCATGCTGTAACACATTAGTCATGGTGGGAACATCTTGATGGGTCATCCTTCACTACTCTGGGTGTGAAATGACGCCACATGTGTCTGCTTGTCTCGAGTCATCTTTATCCTGAAAGCCATTAGACTGATAGAGAAATTGAATACTCAACAGTTTTCCTGTTTTGAATACATATAGGCTACACGTACAGTTTTATGTTTATGAAATGAGGAACGAATCAGGATTTATTAAAATCCCCCTTGTAGTCAATAATCTTATCCTTTAAAACTCATCTTTGATCACAACAATTACATATTTAATTTTTTTTTTCCTTGGAAAAAAAAAAGATTCATGTCTTAAAATAGCTTGAATGTAACTCTAGACCCTTGCCTCATTTAGTATACGCGGTTCTATGAATATGTAAATTAGCCCCGCCTCCACTCACCCACAGCCGCTCAGAGATCCACTCGTTGACGATCACACGTTGATCTGATTGGTTACAAGTTTGTGACGTCAGAAACACACGTGTTTTTGAGACTGTCTTTGGTTCTCTGCAGTTTTAAGGAGAAAATACTCAGCAACGCTGTCGACTTATGAATTTACACATGGTTTGTCTTAAAGCATATTAAAAATACCACATAGATACAGTATAAACACCATTAAAAGTTATATTTATACTCAATTATATTTTTCTTATGTACAGTATCTATATTTTTTATAGCAGATATGACCAATAAAAATGTCTACTCTTTTGAAGTCAGCATTAAATAAAAAATATATTACTTTAAATGCATGTTATTGGTCTTATGATTCATCAATGCATGTTTCATGTTTTTAAAGTCACTCTTAAATCAAAATTAATCATTCTTGTTTTTATGGAATGCAAACAATTTTAGGTTCTGGGAACGTTCCCAGAACGTTCCCTATTGGTTCCCGAGGAAAGTTTTCTTAACGTAAATAGAACGTTCTCTTAAGTTTAGGTTCTCCAAAAAGGAACGTTCACGGAACGTTCTCCTTAGGTTATAAAATTAAACCTAAAAATAACCTACAGGGAATGTTCCCAGAATGTTCTTTTCATATATTAATATTTATCATAAATTAATTATCCACACACATTGTTCTTTTTTTAAATGTATGTGCCTTGTAATCTTTAATCAAAATAATGTCCCCTCTCTCTTGCTGTTCATCTCATCTCTTGTTTACTGGCATGAGGGGGCGGGGTCGTCTGTCACTCACATGAGATCCACCAATAGCAAACCACAGCCATCCAATCAATTCCCAATGGACATGTTTTCTTGTTCCAGAAGCTGGACCACTCGTATATATACTGACATATGTTTAATTCATCAACTCAACAAGTTAACAGATGTAAAATGTTTGCATTGGCAAATTATTTTCTGAGATAGTATTATTGTGTTTGTTTAAGAAATGTACAGACTAAAAAATTACACATTCTTAATCTGGGAATGTAATGTGGCATACAGACAACAGCTTTGTTACATATTTCATTCTGTTTAACTATTTTTCTGTGCATACAGACATTTTTTAAATAATTCATAAGACCATTTAAGGGATTACTGCATGCACGAATGATTCACATGTCTTGAATGAGAATTATGTGCGGCATCATATTTACCATAAAACTTTATTTGCACACAGAACAAAAATCATTTTTCACACACATCCACAAAATGGGGATTTTTTATTAAAATATGCTAAATGCATAAGTATTATGAAACATACCTACCTACTTTTACCTCAGTCACCCACACCAGGGACATTTTTTACAGAAATGGCTGTTACACAACATTAACTATTATAAGGCTCTGATAATGAATGTCAGATCTGTGCATTTTCTGTTATTCTGCTGTCAAGATATTTAACACCCAAACACATCACCCTGAAGCTGAACCGTTCATGATGTAAAACCGCAATATTCAATGTAATGAACGTCTAGCGCATTTGAATAAAAAAACTGTTATGGCACTAGTCTGAATGATTTGCAAGCATATGTGGAATAAAATTACTTGTTTTGTCAGAGTCTACGTTTGACAAATCAAAGTTACAGTGGTGAAAGTTAAAGTTTAAGTTCTGATGAAAATGTCAATGCTAGGCTGTTGACATGAAGTTGCTAAAGGTGTTAGCATGTTGCTATGTTTGTTGTTACTTTGATATGTGTTCTGGGTGAATTCAAGGTATAGTTCACTCAAAATGAAACTTATCCCATAATTTACTAACCCTAAAGTCATCCTAGGTGTTTATGACTTTCTTCTTTCAGACGAAAACAATCAGAGTTAAAAAAAAAAATGTCCTGGCTCTTCCAAGCTTTATAATGGGAGTGGATATATTTTCCATAAGGGTATAAGTCCATCAAAGTGCGTACATTCATGATAAAAAGTGCTCCACGTGTTTCCGTGGGGTTAATAAAGGCTTTCTGAAGTGAATCAATGCGTTCGTGTAAGAAAAATATGCATATTTAAATCTTTATCCACTAAAATAACTTCATTGCTTCAGGGTGAGCAAATAATGGGCTAATTTTAATTTTTGGGTGAACTATCCCTTTAAGGGCAGCAGCTATTTGCACTAAGCATTTTTCTCCGCGCTAGATGCGATCTTCTTTTTAAAGGGATAGTTCACTTTGAAATTAATTTTTGATATGTTTTATCTTACCTCAAGGGCATCCAAGATGTAGGTGTCTTTGTTTCCGCAGTATTTTCAATTTTGATATTTTTAGGTCAAACCATTGTTGTCTGTCAGTCATATAATGGAGGTCTATGGTCACCACCTCAAAGAGCATGCACAGAGAAGTCCAAATTAAACATGATTGAATGACTGGTAAATGTAAGTACACATTGATGGCCTAAGACACGAAACGAACGGTTTGTGTGAGAAAACGAACAGTATTTATATAGATTTTACCTCTTGTAATCACAGCCATGTCCAAGTGATCTGAGGCGCTGGCGCTTTGTGGCTGTGGTTTCAAGAGGTAAAAACGATATAAATACTGTTCGTTTTCTCACACAAACCGCTCATTTTAATGTGTACTTACATTTACGAGTCATTAAATCATGTTTAATTTGGACTAGGGCTGGGCGATATGGAAAAAAATGTTATCACGATATGTTTTTCCATATTGAACGATCTCGATTCTTATCACGATATGTAGTTTTTGCAGATGTTGCCAGTGTAAGGGATATCCTGAAGCTTGAAAAAATAAGATATTCACTGAAACTTTCGAATAAAGTTTAATAACATAAAAAAATTAAACAATATACCTTCCAAAAATGAGAGCAGCAGGGCCCACAACTGGCAAAATAAAATTCAGAGCAGCGCTCTTTCACTCATACAGAGTTTTATATGCTTTCAAACAAGTGCAAACAAGTAAGTGACTGGTCAGTGGTCACTTTTCAATATATTTTACATTTTTGATTTTGTAAACAACTTATTTTAACAACTTAAAACACAATTATTGAATAATAATCTCAAATATTTGTAGAGGCAGCAGCACAAAACCAAACTAAGTAAACATGTGGGTCACATCCTCTGACACATTCAAGTGCTAAACAAAGACAAAATAAATGCAAAAACTAAACCACTATAATACTAGTATACTGGTTTACTTCCCAGAGATCTTTTGGAGGTATTGAAAAATGCAAAAATAAACGGTTGTGCTGTGCACATCATTTGCTAACATGAGTCATCTCCCTTTATACAATAATACAAACGTTTACTAACTGAAACATTGTATATAAACTAACAGCAGTGACAACTATCACATCAAATTGCTTTGGCTGGGAAGTGAACATCTCAAGTACAAAAAGAGTAAACATGGCCCTGGCACAAACACTACCTGAAAGATTAAGGTAGATCTATAGAAAAGTAGAATGAAATCTGAGCCAAAATTGCACAAATATGTAAACATAGTAAACCAATCACAGTTATTCTACATTTTGTGCACTACTGAACATCACTTAACCCATTATAGGTTTTTTGCTAGAAAAACAAGTCTGTCCACCACATCTGGCTTTAAAGCAGCCCTATGGCAGGACACAATATTGCCACTCGTACTAAAAGCACGCTCCGAGGGTGAGCTGGTGGCAGGAATACATAGATACCGCTTTGCCAGGAAGCTCACTCTGGGGTATGATGTGAAGTGAATTTTCCACCATGTCAGGGGGTTGGTCTCACTGTCTGCTTCTGGAGCTAGCAGGTAACAGTTCAGTTCAGCCTCAACATCCTGCTCATCTGTTAGACTAGAGGTAGAAACAGAGGAGGACTTCTTGAAAAAGCTCCCCAGTGTCTTCCTCTGCATTTTGGCTGGTGGAGCTGAAGCTGTAGCATCTGCCTCGCCTCTGCCCAATCTGGGTGTGAGAGACTGCGGTGTGCTCTGACAGTCACACAGGATCTGAGCCACAGCTCTGGATTTCACAGCCTCTACCTTGTCATCTTGGATGTAGCGGGTCTTGAACCGAGGGTCAACAAGGCATGCCATGTTAAGGAGGTCATCAGTGACAGCATCATCATATTTTTCATTTAAATATGTGGTGATGGAAGTTTTGATGGCCTTGGTTAGCTCTGTGTCATCCTCTCCTGGCTTCATGACCTCTGTATTGAAGAGCTGTAGGACAGGTTTCACACAAGAGACACTGACATGTGCTTCACCAGATAAGGCATCAGTGAACTCTACAAGTGGATTAAGGGCCTTGTGTATGGACTCCAAGACCTCAATGTCTTGCCATGAGGGAGCCAGGTGCCTTGTTTTTCTATCAGCTGACAACACCTTTGAAATGGCCTTCTCCTGTTCCAGTATTCGTGCAATCATTGCATGGCGAGAACCCCACCTGGTAGGTGATTCTGTTATTAACCGGTGCTTTGGTAGGTCAAGCTCCTTTTGTGTAGCTGCTAGTTCTTTTTTCTTCTTCCATGAGAATGAGAAAGCGCCAACAACTTTTTTGCACACACCCATGGCTCTCTCTATTCTCTTGTCTCTCACACTTCGCTCTGTAGATAAAAAAAAGGTAAGTATTATTTAAAATTAGTTTCTGTCTTATTATAATAAATCATAATATTGTCATATTATCCTTGATGTGACAATCAGACTACACACATAATAAACATATTTTTACATGTTATTTTTATATGTTAGTACAGTGATTCAATATAAACTCTTAATTCAAATATATCTTAGATTAAAAATGTTATAATAATCGAACTATCACCTATCAGTATCAATTATCAAGTAGAATGTACACTGTTACCATTAAAGTTTAAATAATTTTGTTTTCAGACACATTCATATTTTTATTTGAATGTATACACATCAATAATTACCTTTGACCAGGTGCAATAATTACATACTCTACTGACTGAGTCCCAGTTACCAGTTTTGAGAATATATCCTTTATCAAGAATAAATCACATTGTCACAATCATTTCATGAGAAGAGGTACATTTTTTTTTTACATTTTATTCCAACTTTATAGGCAACAGTGTATAAGACTACGAATCATTACGCTGAGCTATTATTAGAGCTGAAAAAAACTTTTTTTAGGTGAAGGTGATTTACTACTAATTAAGGAACCAGCGGCTTTACTGACGAGATGCGCATTAAAATGTCATGCGATATCTCGCACAGCAGCTCTTAATACATGTAACGAAATTATAATCATGAACTTACCAATGGCAAGGTGCAGCCGATGACCAAAGCACTGCAGCCGAGTCCAACCATTGAGGGAAACAGCCTTGACAATGTTTGCCCCATTGTCTGTTGTGATGCACACCTGACTCTCTTCCCTAAGGCCCCAGGATTTGAGTGCATCCTCCAGCCCCTGGCTGATGATTTCCCCAGTATGGTCCTCTGGAAAGTATACTGTCTGTAAACATTTGCTGTGTAGAGCCCACTCCTCGTCAATGAAATGAATTGTGAGACTCATATAGGGCTCCGATGTGCGGCTAGACCAAAGATCAGTGGTAGTGGCAAAGTATTTAACATCCTTCAGATGAATTTCCAGCTTATGACGGCATTCATCATAAAGCTGTGGCAGCGCCATCTGAGAAAAGTATTTTCTACCAGGGAGCTCGTACCTGGGGTCTAACACTTTAATCAGTTTTCTGAAGCCGTCTTTTTCAACTGTACTCATGGGCATCATATCTTTAGCGAGGCAATAAGTAATAGCGCTCGTTATATTTTTGCTCCTCTTTGTTTTTTTATCATACGGGGCAATGGCGGCAAAGCACGACTGGATGGATTGTTGTCTCCCGCTGCCGCTAGCAATGCTAACAGACGACGTAGTGGTTTTGCTTGGCTGTGTGTGAGGTGTCGTTCCAGCTTGAGCACGCAGACTCATGCTCTCAGAGTAATTACTGGGGTGGTGCCGTCTCAGGTGATGGAAAAGATTGGTTGTATTCCCCGTCCTGGCTGGTACCAACCGCCGGCATATTTTGCAGACTGGCTTCACCTGTTCCTGGTCGTTTTTGCCGTATCCAAACCACGTCCACACAATTGACGTCGTGTTACCTTTTTTTTCAACAATGTCTTCGGCCTCGAATGATGTAGTGATGTCGCCTTCACGTTCGGCATTATTTTCGCTGTCTTCAACTTCAGTTTCGCTCATTTTTTCTCCTTTTTCCAAACTTTTCTCCCTCTCTCTCAAGTCTCCTTCTGTTTACTGTAGCCACGGCTGCTCGCTGAGAAGTGGGCGTATCCTAACGGCATACGGCAGACTCTGTTGCGCTTACTTTTTCACGTGATATCGAATAATATGTCCCAAGCTTATTATCGAAATCGTTCAAAATTTTATCGCGATCCCGTATCGAGATCGAATTATCGCCCAGCCCTAATTTGGACTTCTCTCTTCTCTGCTCTTTGAGGTGGTGACCATAGACTTCCATTGTATGACTGACAGACAAGAACGGTTTGACCTAAAAATATCACACACAAAAAAAAAAAAACGAGTTTGGCAAAAGTGGATTCAAACTCAAAGGTACTTTCAGGCACCACACTCCACAGCCTCCGCCACAACAGACGTTATGATTCACGTCTTTTTTAAAGTCGCCCAGTGGTGAAAATCAAAGTTTATCTAAGTGGTGTTTTTAATATGCTTTAAGACAAACCATGTGTAAATTCATAAGTCGACAGCATTGCTGAGTATTTTCTCCTTAAAACTGCAGGGAACCAAAGACAGTCTCAAAAACACGGTTTGAAATCGTTGGTGTTTCTGACGTCACAAACTTGTAACCAATCAGATCAATGTGTGATCAACCAGTGGATCTCTGAGCTGCTGTGAGTGAGTGGAGGCGGGGCTAATTTGCATATTCATAGAACCACGAATACTAAATGAGGTAAGGGTGTAGAGTTACATTCAAGCTTTTTTAAGGCATGAAGAATTTTATTTTCAAGGAAAAAAAAATTAAAATGTCATTTTGGTGATAAAAGATGAGTTTTAAGGGATAAAATTGTTGACTACAGGGTGAGTTTAAATCTTGTGTGGGCCAACCAGACATTGGTGGGTGGGTGGAGTTAGTGTAAATCTCCTGTCTTGTTGGCAAAGTTGGAGCCAGTCTGTAAATTTTTGGCAGTCAGAGTTGACAGATTTAACAGAAAATTAAATTGGGTAACACTTTATTTTGATGGTCTCTTTTAGTCATTCTGTTGACTATAAGAAGCTTTCCCCCACTCTAAATAATGCTGACCCAACTTTAGGTCAAAAATGTACAAACCCAAACATTGGGTTAAAAAATGTCATGTAAAAATCTAACCCAACGGCTGGGTTTGTCCATATTTGACCCAAAGTTGGGTTTTATTTGGATGCGATTGAAACAACCCAGCAGTTTTTAGAGTGTACAAGTCAACTAACTCTCATTGGAGTATTAGCTGAGTAGGTGGAACATTTCTTATAGTCAACACAATGTCTAATGTGGACAATCAAAATATTTTGTTTTTTCTGCTTCTGAGTCCAATTAGTCTACATCCAGTCTGAGGAAATCAAACTTGTTTGATCATTTGAGCTGGTTTTAGAGTTTGTTTGAGATAACGTCTGTGTGATCCTCAGTCATTGTGACGCCTAGTTTTTATGATGCCTAAAACCTGTTCCCAATTTAAAAGTCATTTATTCAATACTTTACTTGCGCAGGTCAAAAGAGCTCACCACTATCTCTAAATACTTAAAGCCTACCTCAGTTTCTTTCTTCAGTCTATGGGATTTGTGGGATTTTTTTATTGTTTGTCAGGAAAAAGATCTATCAAATGTAATACTTAGGCTTAGGGGTTTGTTCAAAACTTTTTTAGTAAAGCGTTTTGATTTGACATCAGTTATAAGGGTTTGTTTGAACATGCTGGTTTGTCTTTATTTAAAAAAATGTAATTCGAAACATGGAAATGACATTATAACACCTTATTTTGTCTTTAACCTTTGAAATGATTTAATAATTTATATCGCTTATGGTAATAAAGTCAAGTCAATCTGAGTAATTTATGTTTTCAAGCTGGTAATTATTAATTATGTATTGCTGAAAACTATATAAAATAAGAAATGCTGATTATGTGTTTATAAATTTAACTCGCCTGTAATTAAAACTAATTACCAACAAAAGCAAATCATGCACTCACTCAGAAATGCAGTCTAATGAACTGGTTGGAAAGTAACACAAAGCGTGGGAATATTGCATGACAGTCAAATCTTCACCCGTCTTTTAATTATTTTAATAAAACACTGACTGGAGATGTGTTTCAAGATCAATGTGTTGCATGATAAAGTAGATGTTTAATTATAGCTATTTTATAAAGTTTTTGAAGGTATACTGGCACCATCCTAGAAGCACCATCCATCATTGCCACTTTTATATAGTAGGTATATATAGTATTTTTGTAGTTCTTGAAATGTGTTTTCTCAACCCGGTCTCATCCCAAGACGTTATATAACTGACGTTTTGAGACGTCTTTTGACCATACGTCAATATTCGCCTTTTTAGGGCCCCCTTAAACTTCGGTAGATGAAGTTATGGGATCCTAACTCTACCCCAGACCTAAACCTAACCCTAAACCTAACCCGTCACCTGACATTAAAGGTAAAGCGTCAGTTGTATGACAGCCCGGGATCGCCATCTACCGACGTTTAAGGGGGCCCTAAAAAGGCGGATATTGACGTATGGTCAAAAGACGTCCCAAGACGTCAGTTATATGACTATTTGGGATGAGACTGTGTTAGTTTTCTTTCTGAGACTACGGGCCCTATTTTAACGATCTGAAACACAAGTATCAAGTATCTTTGTGGGCGGATCTCGGCGCTGTTGCTTTTTTACTGGCGGGATAAATGACTCTTGCACTCAACGCAAATCTAAAATATGGTTGGTCTGAAGTAGCTTCATTATTCATAGGTGTGGTTTGGGCGTAACGGGAAACAAACCAATAAGAGCTTCATATCACATTCCCTTTAAGAGCATGATGAACGAGGTGCGCTTGTTCCATGGCGCAATACTATTATAACGGCACCTTTGAACTTGAAATAAAGATTTATGTTAATTCACTTACCTCTGTCTCCGGGCCTGTATCCTGACAGATACTTGCGTTTCAGATCGTTAAAATAGGGCCCTAGGTTTTTTTTTTCTACTCAGTGGCGCAATTGTTTTCTGGAACTGCAAAATAAGGGTGGATTATTATGGCCAGAACATGTTATGTAGCACATATTTGAGTCTTTGTCATGTTTTAATGACCTGTGTTGGATTGACTCAGCAGTTTAGTTAAGTCCTTGGTGTCTACTTCACACACACACATGCACACACACACATCTGTCATTCTTTATAACCCCCTCCTCTGCCTCATATCCATGACTACTGCCTCTCACTTACTGTCTCCCTCTCCATCTGTCGCATTCTCTCTCTCGCTGTGAGTTTTGCTGATGCTGCTTTTATGCCTTGCAAGATGTTTGGGTGGAGCGTTTCTCCAGCTATCTTTAATGGGTCTCAGAAGAATTGCTGTAGACACCCTTTCCATTGATTAAAATTTAGTCCTCTTGTAATATAAATCATCACCGACAATCACATCCCAACTTGTGGGTGAAAACACTAATCAGAGTAGACATCCGATTTCGCCTCAGGACAGCAATGCAGGCAAAAACACATTTCGAATGGTTGTGCAAAAAAAGTGCAATTAATGGCCTAAATGCATAAATGATGAAAGACATTTTTTTTCGTAATATCTGTATTTGTATTCTTCTTAGGCACCGTTGTTTATTGTAGATAGCAAGGAAAAGCTGTGTGATACACAAGGCGAGGGCTAATTTGGTCTTCTGGTTTCTATGGAAATGAGCGGCGCTGTCTTGAGAGCAAGAGTAGGTTGTTACAGTAAAGATGTCTAGTTTTGAGGCCAGACAGTTCAGAATTGTTCACCAAAGTGTAAAGACTGTTCAATGAAGAAATGCGTGTTAAGTGGCAGAGGGGCTCATTAAAACTCAGGCATCTTAAGCTTGTTTACTGCACTTCAATACATTGAGGAATACTCTTCCCAGTCTTTAAAAAAAAGAACTAAATGACAACAAAACGGTCAAAAGGCGTTAACAAACCTTTAAATACCAAGTACATAAATGCCATTGCATATGGTAAAGGAACTTTTGAAAATAATCAAGACAAAATACATGCACTTTCTCCTATTGTACTTTATTTAGCCAATTTGATCTTTCCCAAACTGCACAGACTATACTTCAACAATATGGAGACCAGCCTCACACATTTGGGAGTCAGTTTTTCATCAATCTTCCAGGGACTAAATGCTAGTATTTTTGAATTACCGTGCTTTCCCCCCACATATCCTCATGAGATGAGAGATTTATGTTTTGTTTTTTTTCTGGAAAAAAATCGTCAGATGACGTAAAAATCATCATTTTGTGTCATCGGAGGATTTTTTGGGCTGAGGCTAAAGACTACAGTCAGTAGTCGGGTCTGTCCCGCATGTTCTCAACCCGCCCATAGAGGGCGATCTCACTCACAGAATGAACACATAGTGTCGGCCATGTTTTTTTGGAAGCTAAGCTATCAGGCTCTTGTTCTGTGGAGAAAGCTGAGTAGTAGGGGTTACCATCCTCTTTTTCCCCATGTCGATGTCCGGGATTCAGCTTTTGCTTGCAGTCGCCATTCATTGTTTACATGTGCAGCTTTTGCGTCAATCTAACTGAATTCGTTCCGATTGGTGAATCTGAATGTAGTGTTTACATGAATGCTAAACAAGTGATCGGTTGATGTGTGTTTTAACATTGCTAAGAAAATCCCCGCTCCTCCGTGAGAGATACGAGACCGGTGCGTCACACAGGTGTCGCTCATCGGTAATCACGCCTCGCGCCATTCTCCCGCGGCCCTCACTCGTCCCACTCGCAAAACGCAAAAGCCGAATCCCGGACATTTTGGGCGATCTCGAAACCAATTTTCGGGCAGACTCATCACGGAGACTCACTAGTAGCCTAGACTTGTTTTTTAACTACTGCCCTCTGTTACCGGTAGGCCTCCTAAAGGGCAGCGAAGCAATTGTATTCTGGGAGTTGTTGTCTATCATCCACATAAGCCAAAAATATATTTTCTGGCTTTTCTCAGTCACTCCAAATTCAAAAATAATTTCACATTTCTT